AGCACACCATTACAAACATTTAGAGCCCACTCATCCCAAACTCAGAAGAGAATACAATTAACAGTTAAAATGAATGTGATGATTATAATCAAGCACTTCAGCCTGCACGATTCATGGAATTATTTCTTCATTTGGTAATCTATGGACCATTGACATCCACTTCTATAGTCCTTCATGGATGATTAAATAAAAAAAGCATGCTTCTCTGTGTAAATATTGTTCCCGGACATTTTAAAAATACTGTAGATGGAATAGGCATGATAACTCTTACTTATGAAAACAAGCGCTATGACTACACATTTCAACCGAATGGCTCCAAGTCATATGTTAGGTAAGGGAGATGAAACTGTGAGAATTGCTATGTCTGCAACTACTAATACCCGTGGATATATTTAGTCAGTTCTTGTGACTGCCTTTTTCCTTAATCTAATAAATACTGCTTCTTGTAATGAATAGTTTTTATTTTCTTTTTCATTATTTTTTTGGATGAGTAAGAACCTTTGACAGTTTTTTTATTGCAGTCTGTGTCTCCTTTGGGGGAGATTTTCCCTTACTTCTTATCTTGGCAACCACTGTCACTGAGCCAGGAAGTCAGAAACTTCTTCCCAAAGGGGAATGCAGATAATAAGAGAGAGTAGATCTTCCTTAAATCAGTGTCACCCTCTTTAACAAGTTTTTCCCATTAATTTCTGATACCTTGGTATTCACTTTGTGGATATTGCCTTTTCGTTTGTTTTTTTTTTAAAGTACCTTTTTTAGTTTAAAATTGCTGGTTCTCTCCGCTGCAGCAATCTATGTCATTAAAGATGTCCAGTTGACTCCTGAGATATTGGTGGGATATCAATCCCAGGAATCAACTGGCACCCTGCACTTCTGGCATCATGTTATGTGCTCCATACCATGTCTTCACTGTGCAGGCGTGAGAACAGGAGGTGGGTAGCCAGCTGCACGAAAAACAAGGAAGTATATGGGCTCCGGCATCAGATGCCCACACAAGCAATGGCTGCCACCATAAATGTATGGGGAGAAGCTACTTATCAATTTAGGCAAGTAAAAATTGCACATACATAGCCACAGTATATGAAGTGCATTGTAAGAGACCAGAATGTGTTTTTATTTAAGTTGATTTGAGATTGTAGCTCCTCTTTAATACCATTGATTTGGTACCTATATTCATAGATAATGTCCAGTAAAATACCCAGAATAAGAACTTTGCTTTGTATATTCTCCATTATGATTAAGCTACAATCTTTTTACTGCACTCATTAACCAACTACACTCTTGATCATGATGCAGAAGTCTCATCCCTTCCTAACACCTAAAAAATTGGAATGTCCCCTCTGTCTGTTCCTATTATTATGAGTGGAATAATGATGGCATGCTGTGGAATCAATGGGTCACACATACCCAACATCCAGTATTCTAAATGAATAATATAATATAAAGATTAAACTCAAATAAACTAAATCTCTGGTGTTGTGTCAAAAATCTGTATTCCAAACTTTGTGGTTATTTCAGGGCTTGATCACACCATGGTGCAGATAGTTTAGTTTTTCTGCACGCGTTCTGCAAGGGCACAACAAAATCAATTGTTCTCTATGTGCCCTGTTCACACCACACTAGTATCATATACAGATTTTTTTTTATGCACTGCAATCTGCAACTTGTATAAAACTCATTGAAGCGTGCATGAAAAGTGATTTAAACTGATGTCTCTGCAAGTGAAATCTGCATGTCAGTTTCCATCAGTTTTCCTGCACATGTGGAGTGAACGAGGCCTAAACGTTGATCTCAGTCGCCAAATAAGAGAACTAGGCAAGTTATTCAGAGGAAGTAAACCAGATGTTATTTAAAATTCACTAATATTTTGCGAGGTCTTCGTGAAGTAGATGTAAAACCCAATTGCTAAAATCTCATATAAGCTTTAAGATGTCAATGGGATTTTTAGAAACCATTTTCAGTATATCTAAAGTGGTTGTAAACCTAAGACATGAAATATAAACAAAACATATCCCTCTATAGTGTGTACTTATATCAATTAAGAGCACAAAGTGCCATTTCTGTCTGCTTCTTAGTTCCTCTGCTATCAGCACTTCTGACAAGTTTTCCTGACACCAAGGGAAAAATGTTGACAGGTGGTGGACCTCCAGCAGATTGACAGCCTCGGATCTGTTCCTGTGAGCTGTGTATGTAGGTGGGTGTGTCTTTTCCTTCCAATCAGCTCTCAGAGTTTTTCTTACTGAGCTCTGCAGAGTGTTAGTTCAGCTCCTTGCCTGCTTTTTTCTTGAACTCTCAGACAAGCTGTATACATTCAGCACTTTGAATAGCTGCAGAGAAGACTGCAGATAAACAGGTACAACTTATGTAGGTGGATTTGTTTCATCTCTGTGTATCACCAAAGGCCAGTCACTTTACTGAGTATATGTAAAGGTTTACAACCATTTTAAATCTGCCACATTCATCAAAAAACAAGAATGCTAAGTATTATCTAGGCTAAATATCCTAAAAACAGTCGTTACAAAAACATTACATTTAGTCACCTAGAGGCAATTTATGGCTATCAGAAATTTTGCAGCCAACTAAAATTATGTTCCCAGCATGTTGCAGTAGGCATTTCATTCAGTATGAATGGCAAGGCAAATGTGTGTGTGTTATGAAATATTACATGTCAGTAAATGCCATGTCTCGATGGTTTGTTGTTTTTGTCTTCTATAGATAGCACACATCAGCACAAAATTTGGAAACAAAATGCAGACTCCTATGAATTATATATACAGATTCCCAGCTTATCATCTTGCAATATGCATATAATGTTGCCTAGAAGAATGGCAATATAGTTATATAGAAAAAGATTTATTATACTCTCTTTGAAATGTAACTACTCAAATCTAGATCCATGAAAGACTGAGAATAAATAAGCATTTCTTACATGACTGAAATATGTAATATGCCTAGATCAGGGGTATCAAACTGGCAGCTCTCTAGCTGTTGCGAAACTACAAGTCCCACCATGCCTCTGCCTTTGGGAGTCATGCTTGTAACTGTCAGCAATGCCTCATGGGACTTGTAGTGTGGCAACAGCTGGAGGGCCGCCAGTTTGACACCTCTGGTCTAGATGCACATGAAATTAATGGAATAGGTTTGCATCCTAATATGATCATGTGATCATCAGAAATGTTAAATAGCCCTTCTTTATTTTTAGCCAGTAAGTGTCACCATTAATTCACACTTGAGCTAATAGTCTTTGGTCTTTTATAGGCTTTTTTGAGCATTTGTACTGGTGTTTTTGAATGTTTTTGTCCGCATTTGAGGCTTAAATGTTTTTTTCTATTACTTTTAACCAATGGAAAGCTTGTTTCCAGGGGAAAAAAGCACAATGAATGCATTTTTGCACCTTTTTTGTACATTTGTTAAGTTGCCCCCATTGTTGGGACCAAAAATGTTTGTCGCTTGTAGCTCAAAGAAGCTCACGTACTTTTTTCGAACTTCAACCAACACTATGCTAAGGTATGAACAGGCACAATAGAAAACTATGGGATTTTTGTATTGTGAGCGTTTTGGAGCTTTGAGGTTTGAATAGGGCCTTAGAATACGGACTTTTACCTTGTAGTGTGTATATCACAACTCTTCCAGTAGCAGTATCTTATCCTTTGGATTTTTGTCCTGTGTTGTCCAAGAACTATACCATAAGGCGTCTGCACTTTTTTAACAGATAGGGTTCGTGGAGGAAGTACTAATAGTACCAATAACATTTAAAGTGATAGTAAAGCCAATGTTTTTATAATATATGTATATTATTATTATTATTATTTTTTATTATAATACAGGATTTATATAGTGCCAACAGTTTGCTCAGCGCTTTACAATATAACGGGAGACAATACAGCAACAATACAGGTCAATACAAGAGGGATAGGAGGGCCCTGCTCCTTGGAGCTTACAATCTAAGATTATTATTATTATACAGGATTTATATAGCGCCAACAGTTTGCTCAGCGCTTTACAATATAAAGGGAGACAATACAGCAACAATACAGTTCAATACAAGAGGGTTAGGAGGACCCTGCTCCTTGGAGCTTACACTCTAAGATTATTATTATTATTATACAGGATTTATATAGTGCCAACAGTTTGCTCAGCGCTTTACAATATAACGGGAGACAATACAGCAACAATACAGTTCAATACAAGAGGGTTAGGAGGGCCTGATCCTGGGAGCTTACAATCTAAGATTATTATTATTATACAGGATTTATATAGCGCCAACAGTTTGCTCAGCGCTTTACAATATAACGGGAGACAATACAGCAACAATACGGTTCAATACAAGAGGGTTAGGAGGTCCCTGCTCTTTGGAGCTTACAATCTAGGAGGGAGGGGCTAGTGGTACAAAAGGTAGTAACTGTAGGGGATGAACTGGTAGGAGGAGTAGAGGATTCCATTATTAGCTGAGTGCAGGATAGGCTTCCCTGAAGAGATAGGTTTTCAGAGATCGCCTAAAAGTGAGCAGAGTAGGCGATGGTCTGATAAATTGGGGTAGAGAGTTCAAGAGGATGGGGGAAGCTCTGGAGAAGTCCTGGAGACGAGCATGGGAGGAGGAGACAAGGGAGCTAGAGAGCAGGAGGCTGTTCGAAGAGCAAAGAGTGCGGTTTGGGTGATATTTGGAGACAAGATTGGAGATGTAATGTGGGGCAGAGTTATACATGGCTTTATATATAATATATATTATATAATAATATATATATTATATATAATAATATATATAATAACAAACATGCCATACCTGCTATGTGCAGTGGTTTTGCACAGAGCAGCCCCGATCCTCCTCTTCTCGGGTCCCCTGTCAGCACTCCTAGCCCATCCCTCCTTCCGAGTGCCTCTAGAGCAAGCAGCTGTAGAGGCACTCGTGTCCATTCACACACAGAGCCGCAGCTCAGCCCCACCCTCCTCGCTCTCCTCATTGGCTCACTGGCTATGATTGATAGTACAGTACAGGGCTTGAAATTGTGGTGGGGGCGAGTGTGTTCCCCAGGGCCGTCTTGCTGAGCAGGCTCGGAGCTCAGGCCGGATCTGTCATTGGCACTGGGAGCCATCAGACTGCTCAATAGCTGAGCGCAGTGAAAACAAAGGAAGGAGTGTATGCTGTGCTCTCTGCCTCCCCCTAGAGTGCAGTACCCGGATCTGTGAGTGAACATTGAAGTACTGCAACTTTTTATGGGGTGTGTGTGTGTGTGTACGTGTACATGTGTGTGTTTGTGTGTCTGTGTATGCATGTACAATTGTACATGTGTGCATTTGTACATGTGCCTGCGTGTATGTACAAGTGTGTGTGCATTTACATGTGTGTGTATGTGCGTACATGTGTCTGTGTATGTATGTACATGTGTCTGTGTCCGTGTGTGTACATGTTTCTGTGTGTGTGTGTGTACATGTCTGTGTGTGTGTACAGGTGTCTCTGTTTGTGTGTGTTTGTTGGTGGTGAGTAACTCTAAGGCCTGGCTAGTAGCTCAGGACTTGAAATTTCAAGCACTGCTACAGTATATGAAGTCAAGGGAGAATCTGATTGGCTGTTGTTGATCAAATTGAAGGCATGGGAACCAAAGCGATTCATTGTGACAGCATTGTCATGAATACTTACCATGTCTGCCAAATAACTGTCTCTCCTATGTGTAAGTGATGGTGCATATTTATTGCAGCATTTTTCCTTATACCGAACATAACTGGAACAGTTTTATCAATCCATACATCATGAGCTAAAAATGGATTTAAAGACTGGTTGCCTTTGCCTTTTATTGCAGTAGTAACTTTTTCCCTAGACATACAGTAATTACACGATTTCTTGCACTCGATTGCAACGTGTTTTACTGAGCGCAGCTGCTAACTTGTACAATTTTTTTCTCCATCGGCAGCGCACTTGAGATAAATATTTTTTCTATGTTAAGTGAAACTGAAAATAATCTTTGTGTTTTCACATATGCATTGACATGTAGAATCCTGCTCAGGTGGTGTTTGTGTGTCTGTGATCTATTATATACTCTTAGATTGTAAGCTCCCAGGATCAGGCCCTCCTAACCCTCTTGTATTGAACTGTATTGTTGCTGTATTGTCTCCCTTTATATTGTACAGCGCTGAGCAAACTGTTGGCGCTATATAAATCCTGTATAATAATAATAATCTTAGATTGTAAGCTCCAAGGATCAGGCCCTCCTAACCCTCTTGTATTGAATTGTATTGTTGCTGTATTGTCTCCCTTTATATTGTACAGCGCTGAGCAAACTGTTGGCGCTATATAAATCCTGTATAATAATAATAATTATTTCCATGATTTCTTCCACTTGTTTAAAAAATACTCCATGCAATAGTATAACTTGACCCGAACAAATATTCCAACAGTTGGATATTTGTTTTTTTTTTATTTTGCATACTTTATTAAAGTACATATAAACCCAATCTCTAACATCTGTTATCATTATTATTATTATACAGGATTTATATAGCGCCAACGGTTTGCGCAGTGCTTTACAAAATGAAGGCAAACAGTACAGTTACAACACAGTTGAATACAGGAGGAGTCAGAGGGCCCTGCTCCTTGGAGCTTACAATCTACAAGCTCTAAAGTGTCTATCCAAAACATTTTTATTAGTTTTGGATTGAGTATTGAAGAAACTCAAACTGCTGTGTCATACAGCACATACAGTCTAGCATTTGTACTTTCGCATGCATCTCATCCCCACTATGTGACTGGACAGTGAAAAGAGTAGAAGCCCACTGATGATCCTATTTGTCTGTCACTCTTCTCTCTCCTTCTGTCAGCATGCACATTGAATTGCAGGGTACTTAATTGACCCTTTGGTCTTCTTCCTCTCTTTGAGCTCTGCTGTAAAAGGAATTACAAAAGGCTGATACCAAGTCAGATTTATATACCTACCCTGTATGCATTTAAAAAAGTAACACGATGTTAATGATTACAGAGCTGCCTTAATTTGTGTCTTTTATATCTACCTGGAATTCAGTTTTAAGTAGTACAGCTTTACAGATTACTATTTGTACTACTACGGTTGCTAACTTTATTACAATATTAAGTGTTAAATACAATCTTCATACCTGAATGGTTAAGAAAGATAATATCAGTTTACAGCATCAATAGACATGTCTGATTGATAGCTATTTTCAACGCTTCCACCCTGTTATTCCTTTAATTTTTTTATGTAACGCTAATTTTACATACCAGCTTACATTAGGTATCTGTTTTTAGTCATTTTAATTTTCTAATCCTGTTTCACAGTTATATTAAACCTTGGAATAGTTAAAAAGAGCTACAACACCAACAGCAAACATAATATATGACATGTATAAAATGGGAGTAAGGAGGTGTGGTAACTTATTTTTTGCATCTATATTAAGATTCCTTGTCACCCTCATGTATGATTTAGTGTGAATCTTTATTAGATTCTTCATTTTAGGTATTACAAACAATTCAGTAAATCATGAGAACAGTACAAGTTAGAATAATCATTCTACTTGGAACTTGACATTGACCTAATTAAGAAACCTGTGCCTTCACTTTTATGCTGAAATGTTTCTATTATCTGGCTTGAATTCTACAGAATTACAGAAAGCTTATACACATCCTACCAAATCCCCTCCATTACCAAATCTAGTTATTAATTTGAGTAAAAAGTGCCTCTATCTCGTGTGAGAACTAGCATCACGGGTAGAGCTTTTGAAGCACACAGACACTCGCTTTTCTTCTTTTTAAGGGCCGTTTTTGCCCAATTTTTTTTAAAAAGAAAGTTCCATACAATATAGGTTTCCCACGTAGGGGTATCCACCATCAATACAAATAAAACAAAGATTCAGCCTCCTGGCTCTCTTTAGCAGCACAGCTGCTCAGGCTTCATGCTTCGGTCCTCTTCACCATTCACATTCTGCACCTGGGTTAGCACCCTTTTCCAGCACTCCTGCTTCCCCAGCCCACAGGCTTGGGCCCTGTCTGCTCTGTCAGACTACACTGTGCCACCATGCACACTTGTGGCTGCTCCCTTGCACCCACATGGTCTCCTCGGGAGGGTGGAGCCCAGAACCCTGGTCCTGACTCTAGAAGAAGCCCACACACACCTGACCAATCAATCTCTTGGCCATTCCCAAAACCTGGTCCGAGGATTGGAGATTTCATCCCTCCCAAATCACTTTGAAATCTCCAGGATCCAGGTCCAAAAATGGACTTTACAAACAAATGAAAGTGAAAAGCCAGTTTGCTCTGTATTGAACAAGTACCCTGGAGCCCCTCAACCTGCCTTGTTGAGAATCCTGGGTGAAATATCCTTTTCTACACTGTGACAGGTTGCCACACTGTCATACTCGCCATGAATAGAAACTTTTGCTCCTGAGTAGTAATGAGCGAACTAAGCAGAGTTCAGTTTGCCGAACAATTGAAGAAATTTGCAAACCCCGAACATAGAGCTGATCGCAATTGGAAATATATAGAAGCTAAATCTTGAAATCTTTTGTATTTTTCAAGGCCAGTTTACAAGCTTTTATGGGAAAAAAGGGCATGGGCATATGGGCACTGCCATGGGGGACAAAACAATACCATCAAGCAGAAAGCAACACTTGTAAAAAGCTTAAAGGACATCAATAAAAATTCACAATTCCTTTAAATAACATGCTTGGGGGATACCTTAAACCTGCATGTGAAATGGCACACCTGTAGCATGTACAAAAAGTGACATTTAGAAAAAAATACCATATAAATTGCCACTGTGTGATATTTCGCAGCCTGTTCATTGTGTTTGTAAACGAACTTGCTAGGGATACTTCTCAACATCTCTGCCAGACCCTTATACTAGATTGATATGGTTCAGGAGGTGGGGGGAAGGACTTGCCTTTCTTTCCAGATCAGCTAGACTGCATGCTTGAATAAGGGACTGGTTTACATTTTGGGGAGGGGGAGGGCACACTTTTTTTTTTGTTTTTTTTTGCATAGGGTGCCTCCTTAAAATCCATACCTGACCTCAATCTAGCTAATGGGTCTGGTAAAAATTGTGGGGGGAGCCTCACTTTATGTTTATTTTTGCACAGCATTAATGGTTGTTATGGTGATAACCAATGACAATCAATGACTCTATAGCCACCGACCTTGTAACAACCAATGACATTGTCAGTTGCTAGAACGCAGCTTGTTTGCAGGTTGCTGTCCTAGCAACTAAGGAGTGGGAAGTCATTTATTTATTGATGGTAGAGATCTAAGCTCCTTTGTAAGGCTTAAAGCCTGGGTAGCCTAGATTACATGGTCTTTGGTTGGCAAGATTATTACAACAGTTTCATATAATTAGATACTGCAGAGAATCTGTTGTTTTCATTTACATAGATTTTAACAGTATTGCAGAGAGTATCACCAAGTCACCTTACTGTGCAATTCTACTAAGCAAGAAACAGATCTTGCTTGTGTATGGAGCAAATATAGCTGCCTACATATAACATTGGAAACTATGCATCGAACAAATAATGCTAAGATTACTTACATTTAACTGATCACTTTCACATATACTGTACACAAAAAAATATTATTTTGACTATAGTTCCCCTTTTATAGCTTTAGGGATATCAGACAGAAACCATACATAATCATAGTTACAACCAGTCTCCTCCTAGAAACATTCATTTCTCATCTAAGCAGCCAGGGAATTATTCTGTTACTCTGATAGCATGGTCAGCTAATGGATATGATCAGTGTGCAGCTCACTTAGAGTCAGATGTTGTCTGCAGGGTACCAAGGACAACTCATTTTTAGCTTAGATTAGCATATTTTGACACAATCATTTTGCTTTATGGATCACTGGTCATTAGGGTTTCATATATGGTAGGGGGAAAAAAATACACACTTGGCCATTTCTTGCTTATCTACAGGTCAAAATTACATATATACATGGAATGGATGTGTTCCAAATATAATATTCCATTGAGAGATAAATGAACACGCAGATACACATTACTGGAAAACTAGAGTAGGTCAGATTTTTCAAAAACTATAATGGGAGGAGTTGAGTGATCAGATGACAGCAGAGATTTGCCTTGGATCATCTTAAATGATATGCACTTGTATTGTGAGCAAAGTCGCTTTTCATGGGTTTGGTTATCTAAAGCCACAAATATACTAATAGGTTGATAATGATTACAAAAAGCATGTCAACATACTGGTGCACCTGTAAGAAAAATGTGATTTCTTCCTAAAACATTTTGGTCACTAAACGTAGGAACACAAGTCATATTCAGTTGTATTATACTTGCCTGAAGTCAGAAGATCTATTTTATTTATCGTCATCTGGGGTTCATAATTCAGTTGTTTTCAATTCAGTGGCATACAGAACTTCTAACATGATCCTGCCCTCTGCAA